ATTGGGGGGTGGATTTTTATAATACAAGTAAAGGAGGTTCTGATGGGTTGGAGAAATATTTTCATTAAAAATAGATTTAAATCCCCTGAGTCTGCCTGCATGCTCTCCAGTGGCTGTAAAACTTTGCCTTACTGGGAGAAGAGTCTCTGGAAACAATTGTAAAACGTTAGCAAATCCACCGCAGGGATTCCCTCCGCTGTAATTCCATCCTCCCCAGAACATATCTGTCTCTGTACACACAAGTCCCAGGACAGCTGCAAAGTCAGGCTAGCGGAAATTAAGTTCACAAATTAAGCTTCTGCAAAAATAGGAGCTGCATTCCAGGTCTGAGGTTAATATCCAGAGTAAGAGCTTGGTTCTGACAGAAGCAAAACACCTGCAAATGCGCTTCAGATCAGTCTGTACTGAACTAGTCCCTTTTGAGCAATTTCAGCAAAACCCCCTCAAATTTGATAGCATCTGAAGATCTCACTCTGTTTTCACCCCAGAGACAGAATCTCTGGGACAAGGTAAGGCTGGCAGATGGAAGCTTTCACACTGCACCAGGCTGGAGAGTAGCCAACAAGGAGTGTGATACCACAGGCTGCAAGTTCAAGATCCCAATATTATTCTTCATATTTACCAACATGGAATTCATGTCTAAAAATAAAACAGGAAGGAAGATTCCCCAAAAGCACTCAGTCTGGTTGTTGTCTTCTTTGTTTAGAGGAGGAAAAAAAAGAAAAAAAAGTGTTTTCCAGATGAGAAAACCTCTAAGGGCCACACAGATGCTGACCAGAACAGCAGCACCTTGTGCATATGACTGGGTGACCAGCTGCTGTCTTTGGAGGCTGTAGCAATGTGCTTTGTTTGGCCTTTTCTCCTTAGCATTGTTTGAAGGTTCATGAGTGCATCCAGCTGCTGGATATCTACGATGTTGGGGCTGGGATGACCCAGATACCAGCCAAACCTGAGCAGTATGCCTGCTTCCTGAACCACATGGCTGCTGATGAATTATAGCTCCTGGGGTTTTGCACCTGCATCCAAGGTTTGCCTTTCCTTTGGGAACAGCTTCTTAGACCCAGGGCTGTGCCAGGTTTTCTCATGCTGCCAAGTTTCTGTCTCTGGCACTGTTCATTTGCTGAACAGATAATGCTCATGGATAATGGAAAGGCAACTGGGGAAATAAGTATGAAAGATCATCATACAGGTGGTTTGGACAAGAGTTGTTTCCATCAGTGATTTTCCTTTTTTGAAAGAGAAAAAAATTTGAGAGATCAGCTAACTCTCTTCTTCTTCCTTTGTAGATCACCAGATTAAAAATTGACAGAAACCCCTTTGCTAAAGGCTTCAGAGATTCTGGGAGAAACAGGTATGAGGAGTTTGTTTGTGTTTCCTCATTGACCTCCTCTCTCCTTCCCCTGCTGAGTGCACAGGGCATGTTTGTAAGGCTGAGGAAGGTGTTTTGTGATTCTAATTGTTTTTTTTACAGAAGAAGTTTGCTGTAGCCTAGTTCTTAGAGGAATTAGAATAACTGATTTACTTGGCCTAAACAGATCCAATACATACTGATGTCTTCCTTAGAATATACTTTCCAAATTAGCTGCTAGACTGATCCTATTTCTTTTCAGAAGTCTCCTCTAGTGCTGCTCCTACCTCTGCCTGGATTCTGCAATCTAAAACTCTGACAGAGGGTTTTAGATATTCTCAGAAAACATATCTGTAAAGGCATCCTATAACTTTTCTGCTTGACATTTTTCCTGTGTTTGTTTTTTTGCTGTTGTATGTTTAATTACCTGTTCACGGCTACCTTAGTACCCCTTCTGTTACCACTACTTTTAAGGCTATTTTCTTCTGTATGTATGTTTTGCTGGTTTTTTTCCCCTCTGCTGGATAATTAATTTATTTGTGCTCATTTTTATTATTTTCATGTTCCCCTGAGCTTTTCCATTTGTTATTGAGAAACACAATTAAATCTTTCTTTGATACCTCTGAAAAGTGATTAATAAACTTTTTGTGTATTACTGATATAGTACCATGATCTCCAAAGAATTACGTAAAATAAATGAATTTGTAAATATATTGTAGAGTTTCTTAAAAAAAAAATTATTACTAAAATGAGGAACAGAGACAAGTGGAGGATTACAGATGGTAAAACAGATGACTAGGTCACAGGACAATGCTCTGAAAAATAATTAAAATTGTAGTAGGAAGATCTAGACACTTTACTTGTTCTTTATTATATATAGAACTGATTGAATGATATTATTTAGTTTTAATTTTCACAGGAAATTTTGAACCTTGGGAGTAAAAATGCTTGCTTTATATTAGAAGAAGAATTGAATTTCTGATAGGTTTGCAGGATAGAATTGCAAAAATGTTCTAGTTTCAAACAATTTCAGTTTTTTTCCAGTGATACCAAATTGCTTTATTTTGACTGTGTTACTTATTTTTGTCAGGATTTTTATGGAAAGATTAAGTAGGACAGCTTAAACATTTTAAAAAATATGTCATATTTTAACAACTGGAACTTTATTAAAACACAATTTGTATTAGTAGAAGACAATGCAGAATTATCAAAAAGGAATAAGAAAATCCAAACAAAAACTTCAGCTTTTTCTGCCATTCATGAATCCAGCAGAGTGTGTGTGCAGATCTAAATATTTCGCATCTAATTTCAGATCTAAATGACCTGGGTATCCTTTAAATCAGCGTGACAAAGGCTTTAAACATTAAATTAACTATAGAATTAGACATATATGACCTGATTACGACAACCCTAGGGTTGTAAGCAGGGCTCTGAGTGTGCAGGCCACAGCGAAAGTCGTGTGTAGCCCTCATTTGCTGTCCCCATGGGCACTGTAACTCAGTTTTTACTTGCATGCTCCTCTTGTGTGTGTTCACCAGCACCGCTACCTCACTCAGGGTTTGGTATGGGAAGCGTTCAGTGAATGGGCAACTGCCCCATGTTTCCGATCGCTCGTGTAAATGCTCCACTTTCCACAATCACAAAGAAAACATCTTACTGACCTTGTGGCTTCCTAGCTCAGCTCCTCTGTTCTCATCTTATTGTAGCTCTGTGAAAAGATGTTACCACCTATATTTAATTCCTGCCATGAGCATTATTTCCAGTACTCCAGGCATATGTGACTTTTACTCTGCTCTCCTCTCCTGCGTGGGGGAAGTAATATGTGCCTCAGATACGAGGTCTTCCCTGTGTGCAGAGATACAGCTGCACTGGAGGCCAGGCTTCAAACAGGGATTGATTCAGTTCCAGGTACGTGGTGGGCTAGTTTAACATGGAAGGCGTTAATAAGGTCCTAGCCCAGTGAATTTGGACAGTTTCCTGAAAAGGTTGGGAATTACTGATCTTTGTAGCTCATTGATTTAAGAAAGGGCAGGAAATTGCTACACGGCTGCAGCTGTGGGGAGGGCTCAGTAAGGCTCTCTGCTGATGTAAAGAGGAATTAAAATCTTTAAGGTATTACACATCAAAGAGAGCAGCCTGAGGCTTTAGGAAGAAAAAACAGGCAAAGGTATTTGCAAGCATATATAGCAGTCAGGCGCCTGCCTCACAAGTAGTGGTCTGGCTAAGGTTGCATCACTGTCATCAGCTAGCAGAGGACACTAATGCTCAGCTGCTCCCTTTGAAGAGGACACTTACATAGCTATACCCATAGGAGGGAGAAAAGTGTTAAGGGCCAAGCCATGTGTAAAAAGGAGTCTCCAAATGGGACTTAACTGTGCTGGTTGACTCCTCTTCACCTTGTGACTTTCTAATCTCACCAGGATAACAGGTCAACTGGAGTGACAATTAGGGGACACCTTATCATGATGTAACTGCGTGTTATCTGTGTGTGGGGGGTAATCTTTTCATGGATCCTTTCTTGGGTCTCCTTCAGTTGTTTGCATGGTTGTCTGCCTTCACAGCTGACTGCCCCAGTCCTTGCGCTGGGAGAAGGAGCAGTGGGATATTTTGGAAGGAATGATGAAAATATCTCAGCAGCTGGATGTTGTTTAGCAGTCTTGGAGCTCTCAAACCATGTTAACTCACGGTGTTCAACAATCTAGCCATTAGCCTTGGTGGATTAGGGACTTAACCTGTGTTAGGAGGCCGAGTCTTAGTTCCTGCTTGTTAGAGATTCCCTCTACATGATTTTTGATCTATCTTTGTTTTACCTGTGGTCTGCCCTAGGTGATCCTGCTCTGGCAGGCAGGTTGGACTAGACGATCTCTAGAGGTTCCTTCCAACCCCTAACATTCTATGGTTCTATGATCTGCAAAACCACATGAAGCATCTATAAAAATTCAAACAAGAGAATCAGTCCTGATGGTGAAAGGATACCTACGTAATGTACATAGGAGTCATGTATGACTTGGTTGCTTTCCTGAACTTCAAAAGATTGAGAACCAGAGTTTTTGACATATGGAGCTCAGCTAGCCAAATGTTTGGGTAGCAAGGGTGCAGGTTTAATGCCACAGAACCTATTTTTGGAGACTGAGTAAAGTTCATTTGACAGTGGGATGCTTGTGGGAACTCCTTATCCAGGAGGAAGCCAGAAGGGACAACAGTCAGGAAACCCAGCAGGGTGATGGAAGGAAAAAAACCTAAGCTGAAGGCAAGCAACAGCACTTTCCTTTCAGATGTGGGCAGCTGAGGTGAATAAAAGTTGTTTGTGTTGGAAATGCTCTTTGAGCTTTTGCCTAGGGTAAAAGAGCCAGGAGGGTGCTTGAAGCCAACAGTTTGGCTTCCCCCGTGAACAATGAAACGATGACCTGAATCCTGCATGCAGCAGGACAGCCATATGGGATGGATTATGGAGGTGCACAGATAGCTCATACATATTTTTTCATTTTTCAGACAATGGAACTGTTTCATTTATTGCCTATTATTAAAACTTTATAGCTCTAAAAATAAAAGAATGAATGAAAAAGAGAGAGCGAATCCTGGATACCTTTTAAAGGGCTGACCTTACTAAAATAAAGCTGGCAGTGAGTTGTCTTCTGATACTTTTTAACTTCCTTCATAAAGATGGTGTGAGAGGGGAGGGTTTATGGTCTGATAGACGGTTTGAAATTAATTTTTCAGTGCAGTTCTTTGGAAGAGAAAGTGGATACCACATGGATAATGTTCAGCACACTTGGTACCAGCATCTCTCACCAAAGCCCAAAAGAAGTTGCTGAGATTTCAGAAATGCTGAAAACAAATTCTCGTTTTTTGATCAGCATTTATTGCAGTCCCAAAATGTCTGTTCAATGGCCAGGTGGGTTTTGTTTTCCCTGTTAGGGGCTGGAACACACACAGAATAGCACTCCAGTATTTCTGCTGACTAGGAGAGCACTATCCTTCTGCTCTGTGGTGGAGGTCTATGATGTGGCTCTAGATATCTTGGTACCACACCAATGGCATAAACTGTAGTGGGAAAGAGGGTTGTTGGAGTTGACAGTGATGGAGTTTCTTGATTCCCACCTCCTTGCCTTGACATTTTATTTAAAAAATAGGAATACATCACAGACAGAGAAAAAAATACAGATAGAAAGGGTGGTGATAGAATTGCAGAATCAGTCACGTAAAGGTGGTGTGCCATCTTATCAAAGCTGCTTTTTCATGGATGCATAGAGCCTTTCTCTGCAAGGTTCCATGCACGGGATTGTAGGTGCCTAGCAGGCTAGCACATGATGCTGCTGTCTCATTTATCTTGTCTGATGCATGGAAAGATGTGGAAGTTCAGTAAGGATGTTTTCTGCTTAGACACTATTTCAAAAACACCTACAACATCTGTTCAGCACAGAGAAAACAAACAAACCAACCAACGAAGGGATAAAAGGACGATTTGGTATATAAGGACCTAAATTTGTACACAGTAGAATTGTATTTAACCGGTCATCCAGGGTTTTTTATAATGTATGCTCAACATGTGCATACCTCTGGAGGAGTAAAGGACTCTCATTCGGGGCAGGAAGAGTAAAGAGGTGGCTTTATGTCAGCTGTGGAATTTGGCATCCATTCTTCAGATACCTGTGGCTGCGGTGCTGCCCTCAGCATTACAGGGCAATCTGTGAGTATGGAGAAGTCACACTTGCTGCTGGTAGTTGCAGTGTGGAAAGGAGAAAGTGACAGGAGCTGTGTCCGCAGCAAAGGTTTATTCTACACCTGCACTCCTGCAGTCAAAAGAGGTGGGTCCTTGGTGGTACCCCTTCTTTCCCTGACATACAGGGCAGGAATTAGTGCATATTTGCAAGCTCCTCTGGTACACTCAGTGCTGCCATTTACCCTTTATCAGCTCACAGGCACAGTGGAGTCCAACCCTTGAAAACAGTATATTATTCCTGATTTACACTTTTATTTCTTCTTTTTATTTATTTCTTCTTTTTATTCTCCTATTTTTTCTTTCATTTATTTCTTCTTTTTTTTCTGACTATTCTCTTTTTTCCTTTTCATTTAGAAGTACAAATTATACGGTGCTTTCAAGAACTATACTGATAAAAGGGAAAGTGGTAGACGGAGAGCTAGAACCTTTGGACTGAGTCAAGCTGAGCACGATGCAGGCCCCAGGTAGAGGCAGGGGTAATAGCTTTATCCTGCCTTTACTGTTTCCCTGACCCACCTCCTGTTAGGGGTTGGGTTTTACTGGAAGGGAGTCATGAGAGCAGAGCTAGAAGTCAGATGCTGGTGCAGAGTGGGCTTATGTGCATGGGGATCTACTAACTGAGCCAGACTGTGTGAACACTCGTTTTAGTGAGCTGGCCTCCCTACTACCCCTCACGATCCTTGCAGCAGACGCAGAGCAGCTGGATTATCACAGCTGGAACTTTCAGTCTGGATGCATTACTTGGTTTTAATCACCAAGGCAGGTTCTTTAAACAGCAGGTCTTGTTGTATTGCGACTTGCTCAGAGCATTTTATGCCCACTTAGATGTACGGTACCATAAAGCCTTCCCTTGGTGTTTGGGCTGGGGCTCATTTCATGAGGCTGCAAAAAAAGGTAACATTCTCTTCCTGGCTGCATGTGTGAAGAAGCAGATGGAGTCTAAACATATGTGGCTTTCTCACACAGGGAATGGAGGAAATCCTAAGGGCGATACTGGTAGTCGAAGAGCTACTTTTGCACACAGAACCCAACTTAGCAGATGGGTTCACGTTCTGCGCTGCCTTGTTGTCTCTGAGCTCCATGAGCTGGCAGAGGCCACTGTATTAACCAAATAGTTTTGTTGTAATGTGCTCAGCGCTAGTGTGAGACTGCTATGCAGAGATGTCTTCTGTTTCTACTTCTAGCAGCTTAGCAGCTAATAAACACCATGCAACAACCTCTCCTCTAAACCTCCTCTTAAAATACAGAGTTTGATTTGCCAACTCCAATGTATTTAAAGCATCTGAGCTTCCGGGGAGACTTTGGAAAGTTAACTGAGTGAGTGGAGGCACGTGCAGAAAGACATTTTCAGAAGCAAAAGGCAGCTCCAGTATCAAATCAACATCTGATGAGAGGCTCTGGGGATGTTAGAGCCTTTTGCACTGAAAGGGGATATGTTCTCACATTTGACAAAGCATCTCTAGTCATGTTTGGTTGGTGTGAGGGCTATAACTTGCTGCTGGAAAAGAAGCAGGGGAAGGCGAAGAATGGGAAACAGAGCAATTTGCAGATTCCACAGAGGAGAGCCTTTCCTGGGAAGAAACTCCAGGGAGTTGTCTTGTAAGGAACACAGGGGTCTTTTCTGAGAGTGTGCCTATGATATAGAGACTTTCAGCAGAGCTAGCGTTCTGTGGGGAAAATAAAAACAAGTCTGGGACCCCAGTCCTTCAAGAGGAAAACTTCTCACCTGATTTTTGAGTTTTTCTCTTTGGTACTGTTTATGCAGTGAGTTAAACACACTGATCTTTTGTAAAAAGCCTCTAACTGAAGCCCAAACTCAAGGAGATTTCCTTTTTGATAGCTTCCCTTAGCACTTCAGAACAGTGTCCAGAACTATGAAGTGGAAGGGAAAGGCAATTCACAAAATATCTCTGATTTTATCAGCTGAATCCCAGACCTCCGTTGTTTGCGTAACAGCTTGCATCCACAAAGCATGGAAGCCCACTCTGTGATAAAGCGTGCCTTGAGGAAGTTATGGTCATGCTTCCCCTGCAAAGCAAACAGAAAGTTTGGGATACTTGTTAAAAAAGAAAAAGGCACTGAGAGACTGTTAAAAGCTTTTGAAATCCTGGGTTGGGGAAATTTCTTTTTTTACTCTGGTGGCCAGCACCTGTGCAGGAAGGCTTGCTTGAGGAATTCACAGATGCCAAGGCGACCTTTTGGTGGCCACTAGCAGCACGTCAAGTGAGGTCGGAGCCCTCTTTCCCCAGCGCTGATACTCTTGCCAGCTGACTGACATTCTTCTCTCCTTGTTTTATTTTCATCGCACAGGACGGGGCTGGAAGCCATTATGGAGACCTACGCCTTCTGGAGGCCTCCTGTGCGCACACTCACCTTTGAAGACTTCACCACCATGCAGAAGCAGCAAGGTGAGCATACAAAGGGCATACAAAGAACTGTAGAAACAGCAGGAGAAGGAGGTGTAAGAGCAGCAACGTGCTCTGCTGTGTGTCCAGCAGCCGGAGTGGGGATGTCACATGCCTTGTTGAGCACTTGACTGCTGTGGAAAGACACAGAGCAGAGAGGAAGGACAGAAACGGTGGACAGACTGAGCCTTATGAGGTGTAATGGAGCTGCTTCATCTCCCTGGTGTCCCCAGTGCTAGAGCTGGAAGGAGAGCAAGGTTAGGTAAACCATCCCAAATATGTGGCATGAGTTAAGCGTGAAGAGAGCACAGAGAGACTGAGGAAACACTCCAGCATGTCGGACACATTGTTCTTCATTTGCAGTTAACATTTGCCATTTGTGTGGAAACACAAAGGTGAGGAGTGTATGTCCTGGATGCTTTAGGAGACCAGAAATGTGCCTCTGTCCAGGATCACACTGTCTAACTTTCAAAAACTGGTGGCCTTGCTGGAGAGACTTTCTCTTAGCATGAGTCTGTGAGGAATTATTAGGTGGGCCAAGTGTTTTCCGCATGTTCATACTGTGTCTTTTCTTAGCTTCTGCCCTTTAGATCTCTCATTTGCTGAGTAGAGCTGTGTTACTATTTTTTTTTTTCGCAGGGATAGGGCTTCCCCATTCACTTCATTGCAGGTATTTCTAGTTAAAAATACTGTGATCAATGAGAATAGAGGTATCAGGGCAACTTGGTGCTTTTTTTTATTCCAATATACATGCAAGAAAAGAATCCAAAATTGTGTTCAAATGTGTCAACTCTGAGGTTAAACAACCAAACCCAAATGCATGCCCTGTGTAGCAGATTCCCCAGCCTCTCACATTTAATCTTGACTTTACCCCCATATTTCCCTCCAGACCTCGAATCCATCCACAGATGGCATAGTCTGCCCCAGAGGGAGAGGAGCAGCAGTGGCTGCTGGGATCGCCCACCACCGGGACAGATTCAGAGGGGATCCAGCTCAGGAATCTCTTCCAGCCATCCATCCCCCACCCCAGTTCCCCATGCAACACCCCAGAGCCCAGGTCACGTGCTAAACAATTTTTCTGATGGCACAGCACCAAAGGAGGACAGAACACACTCTTGTCAGTTCATTTAGACTCTCCACCCGTGGTCTTTACATGACCATCCAACCCTTCTTAAATAGCACAGCGTGAGGCAGGAGACGTTTTGCACAAGCTTAGGGGCTTGTGTTGAGGAGTACTTGTGGTGGGGTGTGTGGTCAGAGATGGGTTAAAGCAGGGATTCAGAAACGTTTTCATCACCCACCTAAATAGAAACAAACAACCTCTCCTCCTGATCATGGCTGCTGAAGCAGCCCCCCTCCCCC